GAGGAGCTGAGAAGCTCCCCCGCTGCTTTTAGAGAGTGAGGAGGATTAAGCTGGAGCTCGGTGGAGGCACGACGGCACTCTCACACGGCAACCAGAGCTGGAGCCATGAGCAGGGCGCTTACGGAGCACATCAACAGTAGCTTCCGAGAAGATGCTCCTCGTCCTCCGGTACCGGGGGAGGAGGGAGAGGCGTCATGCTACAACCCCAGCAGATCTGCCAAAATGAGAGCCCAGAGCAAGGTTAAAGACACCTCCGCCGCCGCGCCTCCCTGCTCAACACCACGGAGGAACGAGGATGGACTCGGGGAGCCAGAGGGCAGCGCGTCCCCGGACTCGCCCCTAGTCCGGTGGACAAAGTCTCTACATTTTCTCCTGGGCGACCAAGACGGCGCTCACCTCTTCAGGACCTTTTTGGAGCGGGAGAATTGCGTGGACACTCTGGACTTTTGGTTCGCCTGCAACGGCTTCAGGCAAATGGACTTAAAGGATACCAAAACGCTGCGAGTTGCCAAAGTTATTTTCAAGCGGTACATCGACAACAACAGCATTGTCGCCAAGCAGCTGAAACCCGCCACCAAGACCTTCATAAGGGATAGTATTAAAAAACAACAAATAGACTCTGCCATGTTTGACCAGGCACAGACGGAAATTCAGTCCAACATGGAAGAGAATGCATACCAGATGTTTTTGACCTCTGACATATACCTCGAATACGTGCGCACCGGCTGCGAGAACACGGCGTACATGAACCACGGTCTCAGCAGTCTGAAGCTGATGTGTGGATACCTTCCTCCTCTCATGGAGGAAGAGGAGTGGAATTGTAATGACCTGAAGGCAAAAACATTAGGGTCTGTGGTTGGACTCTCTGCAAAAACCCTGAGGGCTACTGCTGCCATCCGGACAGCAGCTGAGGTGCTGGAGAACAGTTGCCGGTAAGAGCAGCACTCCTCTAGCCAGGCGTGACAGTGTCATTACATCTTAGCGCATGTGGACTCAGAATTGCTTACTGTCCTCATGATCACCATTACTTCTGTAGTTAAACTATAGTGAATATCTGGAAGTTGGTACTTATTTCACAAATGCCTTCCAGAGAGATAAGTCACTTGATCAAAGGGTCTCAGAGGAACATGCCTGTATATCTGTGCCCCCCTGCCTTGCAGTTAGTCAAGAGGTTGGAGGGGTGGGTACAAAACATCAATGGATCTGAGCCTTCCTTTTAAGTAAATGGTGTCTTGCAGGCAGCCCTCTGCTGGCTTGCTCAAGTTTCCTGTGCTTTGAAACCCTTCCTCCAGTTCAGCACAAATTCAGACACCAAGCCATATGACTGCTACAGCTAGATCAAACAGTGTGATGCTGTATTTTCTCTTAATTCTCCTCACTAAGATATAAACTCTTTTTTTTCTGTCACAAAATCTCCCTAACCCAGAGAAATGCTAGTGCAAAGTTAAATGAACTTTTGCAGTCACTTTTATGCCAAGCGGAGATTTTGTTCTCTTGGTCAGAGATGAAAGCAGAGCTGTTTGTGGAAACCATTTGGCTTTTATCTTATGAGCTTGTCCCACACATTGTCCAACAGCTGAAATCTTTTCAAGCCAGGAACATTTTGAAAAACTGGATTTTATGCATGAACCTGCATCAAAGGGCACTTAAAAGTTTTTCACTCAACTACTTTGGCTTCACATCTGGATGCAATTATTACTTGGAGGTTTGACAGCGTCTCTGGTTTGGTAGGAAAAGTGCAATTTATAGGTAATCCATACTTTCCCTGTCAAGTTAACTAAACATTTAGTGAGACTAGGAAATAAACATTGTCTCATGACTTTTTAAAATAATAATTAAAACAAATACATGTATTAAGTCTAATAACTGAATCGAAACAGTTCCTTGAGGATTTTTTCCTTCATTGAGCAGATGTTAGATAACATCATAGCAGTTACCCATTTGCTTCAAGGTGATAATGCTGAGCTGGGAAAAGGTAAGCACGGGGTGTGTTGACAAGTGGCATCTCCTGGTTTCCCGGTGTGATCCTGTGTTTTGCAAAAAAAAAAAAAAAAAGCGAGTGGGAGAGAGAGCCCTCTCTTTCTCCCTTCCATCACCCACACTCTCCCCCCTTTCCCCTTGCCCCTCACCATCTCTTTAGGTCAACCAATTTCCATCTCAAACATGTGGAACTAATTTTGCCACTCAAGAGATTCGTTTTTCGCTTCTTTTTGAGAAACCTCCAATACTCAACTCCAAAGTGATACAAAAACACAACAACGCAACATCCTCAGCTCGGCTCTGCAGCTTCAACCACCAAAACCACTTTGCCAGAGATTGTGTGTGTCTGTCAGTATTTTCCTTCCCTTTTCTTTCCTATCCAGGACTTTTATCTATTTTTCTTGAAAAAAAATTTGTCTGACAGGGACTAAGCATGCTTTGGAGGGAGACAGGGAGAGACAAGAGGAGGGGAAGGCGGACAGACAGGATGGGGGGGGATCATGAAAGAAAGAAAAGAGATGGAGAAAGAGCAGGGGGTGCAGAGAGCCCAGCTGTGCTAAATACCTGACTCTTTGCGCGGACCTAGCAAAGGTCAGGTTTGTGCTTGGGGCCTACGGCTTTAGTCATGCTGGGGTTCTCCTCTCAGCACTCCCGGCAGAAGGCATTCTCATAAAGAAAGGGGCCTTCCTTCCCCCTTTCCCTCTCCCTCCCTCTCTAAATCTCAAGTTCCCCCTTCCTCTTTTTCCCTCCCTCTTCCTTGTCCACCCCCTTCACTACTGAAACAGGAATGCAACACAGCAGGAGAGAGTAGAAAGACAGAGAGAGAGACTTCAGAAAAGAAATCAGGGAAAGTGGGTAAAGGAGGCGCCTCAGACTGGGTGATAGAGAGAGAGAGAGAGAGAGAGAAAGAGATAGAAGTGGAGCGCACAGAAGAGAAAACACTTCATGGAAAGAGAGCAGAGTTTCAGTCAGAGTGCACACGTGCAGGACTATAGGCCTTGCCAAAATAAAGGGATGGACAGATAGCAAAGTAGAGACAAAGAAGGGAAATGATGTAGTTCAAGGCTGATCCCCCCCATTACACAACGTCTGTGTGTTAGGGAGGAGGGACATGAAAAGAGAAGCCATGGCTCTATCTCCAGCCCCAAAGTCTCATGAAAGTGACTAATTACGGAAATCTGTAGAGATCAGCAAAACAAACTCCAAATTGTCACATGCCACAACCACACCGTAGAGAGACATCACATCAAAACCTCTTGTTCCTTGGTCTATTACAGGTCCCACCGCCGAGGAGACCCTGCCAGTCCCTACTTTGTCAACTCTGGCTACATTTTTGCCCCTGCCACCAGTGCCAATGACAGCGAGATCTCCAGCGATGCCACAACAGATGATTCCATGTCTATGACGGACAGTAGTGTGTAAGTGTTTTTAGTTTTGATTGAAATTCAAATATTTTGTTAGTCAGTTTCATTTCAGTAGTGCTTGCTCTGTAGAAACGTCACAATGTGTACTTCCACAATGCTCACCCTGGCCAAGACTCATTGAATTTGATCATTTTCTTAGTATCTAAATGCGCCTGGACCAGAGTTCAGTCAACACCTTTCCAGGAAAAAGTCTAGGGGTGTGAAGGAAAATATTTGTACTTCAACAGACTCGGCTTTCTTTGGGCCAGGGGTCTGCACAGTTGCAAAATAATAGTCTGTAATGTACTTTCATGATCCTAAACGATTGACTGCAGGTAATTCTATTAATGTGTAGTTGTTGCTGTGGCCTCCAGGGAGATAACTCTGGGAAAGTCACTATGTCTGAGAACCTTTTGAAGTTTATTCTGATGCGTTACAAGCTGGAGAGGAGGGGAAAGAACGTCTTGATGTGGTGGGGGCGTTGCCTCATCTTCCTCAAAGTTGAAATGTATCCATACCACCCACCCTTCTGCCACAACAGACTTTTTTTCATATTATCTAATCGCTTTTTCCCTTTGAAGAGCTGCAGGAGAGGGGGAGGGAAATGGCCATTTGGGCCTCAAGACAAACTCATTGAAAAATGTTGGCACCAAATGAAAGGACGCTTACTCACATGGTGGGTCGGTTTCCTGCCACCGGCCTCTGCAGCGTGCTGAGATCTTGTGTCTGTGAGGCTTTCACAAGGGTTACTCATTTCTAGACCTTGGGACAAGGCATGAGGAACTCCCCCTTGCCAGACTAGGGCAACCCCCAAAAAAATCACCTCCACCCGCCCATCCCTCCATAGCTTCTGTCCTCCAGCCTCCAGAGCCAATAGCTGGAGTGGTGAGGCTCGAAGTGCAAGGGAGTGAGAAAATAAAGTGCATGGTGTATAAAGGGCTTAACTGAATCGCTTTCAGCCTATTGTTAGGTGAGGGGAGCTTAGGGGGGATAAGTGGGTGGCTGGCCGCTTTGAAAATGACTTGCACTACTGAATAGGAGATCCCCATAAAATAAGGGTCCATGAAAGAGTCCACGGCTGTTTTCTCTTCCCTGAGCTGGACAAAGCTTCCAGCCGTCACATGGTTCGACAGGGCGGGGATAGTTTGGATTGACAAAACATATTTAGTGAGAAGGAAGTTGGCAAGCTTTGTTTGGAAATCTTGTTTTACCACAAAGTTTCGGCTTCTTGTTAGATCCTCTGGGCTGTTGAGTTTTACTTTTGAAGAGTTTCCTGTGTTTCTTCCTGTGCCTTAAGGGACGATGGCTTGCACTCTCAAGGGTACAGTTTGTGAAGCATTGATTTTGGTACCAGGCCCTACTTACAAGAAGCTTGCTGCAGCATGGGTGATACCAGCAGTGGCTCCGGTATTTGATTCATTTTGACAGTGTCGCTCTGAAATGTGACTTGCAGAAATTCAGCTGAGTAAATAAGACCAAATAGGTTCATTGTTGAACAGCGTCATGTGTGAAAGTCACATTCTTGTAGTAGCTCTCACCGAGGTCTTTGACCCAGAGATCTCTGCTGTCCTTGTTCCCAACTCATGGCTCTCCGTCCCTAACTGATATTAATAAAAAACACAGCTTCTTCATCTCTTATTCGAGGGAACAGTTTGATTAGTGTGTCCTTTTACAGTGGTGAAAAAGGCAAATTTGAATCTCATTTCCCAGATAAAGAACAAGAAGACGAGGATTTGTGAAGGGGGGTGAAAGAAGGGGTGGGGTTTTTTTTTCTCTTTTTGCTTATATCTTATTTATGGATTTACTTGGACGCTGGGGAATGCTGCTGCACCAACTTCAAACATTACCTTATCTTACAAACCAGCCTTTTGATGTTGCTGAGATCAGAGGCTCACAGCGGAGCGCTTGCCAAACGAAGATGGCAGCGGGTGCATATGTGCATGAGTGTGAGATTTCAAAGAGGCAGCAGAAAAAGTAGCGTTTGGGCTAGGTCAGACACTTCTGAGCCACCAAAACGGCCAAGATAATTGGCCCAGCTTAAGTGGCGGCTGACTGGAAAAGCTAGCAGACACAGAATGAAACAGAAGAAGATTCCCAGAATAAATGCTTAATTGTCCGGAGACTACTACTATTCCTAACTACATCTCTATTTTCATATTAATATATCGGAGATACTAAGCCACCAGCACTTAAGCAGTATTTGTTAGCCTGCTTTAGCCTGTTGGAGTTTCTGACTTTCTGATGTTAGCGCTAATTCTTCAGCTTTTTAAACAGCCACTGTCAGAGTTGACAAGGACTGATGTAATCTTATCAGTGGGCCTCTTCTTTTGAAGCCCACAGCAGGATGTTTAGCATATATCCCCAATTGTCCTGGTGTGTTTTGTTATGTGTGTTTTTGTTGCCTTGGCTTCAAGGGCTCCCGGGCCTTTGATTTAGCTCTAATGTGCCTAGTGGGTGGTTACTGGGTGGTGTTGTGTCGGTCACTTCAATGATGAAATGCCTCCTAAAGGCTCTTTCTCCACAAAGACTGAGTAATGGTGCTAACGCACTGGCGACTGCCATGGAAGCACTGTGACCTGCAGTATGAGTGACAGTTTATTATTAAAGATAACATCCACTGTATAGGTGGCTGTAACAGATTGGCTAATTATACTGAGTGTGTAATATCTTTGATTTGTACAGAGATGGAATCCCTCCATACAAGCTGGGCACCAAGAAGCAGCTTCAGAGGGAGATACATCGCAGTGTCAAGATCAATGGCCAGGTTACGCTACCCCACTTTCCCGTAAGTCCTACTTCCTGAAGTCCTACATCCTGTCTGAGTGGTTCTTTTTTTGTAATGTGCTAAACCCAAACTTTTACATGCTGACAGACTACTGGTTCCTGACTCCTGGAGGAGTTGTGCTTTGTTTTATATTATTTTTTTCAAGCTCATGTTGTGACAGAATACTAAATTCCTTTTCCCCACTCATTCTCTTAAAGAATTCAGAGAAAATGAAAGGCAGGATTTACATACCACTTCACTTCTTCAGCTGTTCCAAGTGCTTCTTTACCCCCACCCCCCAGTCCCACTAACGTCTTTAGGACTGTAAAAATAAACTTGTGTTGTAATTTTACTATTCTGTCTCAGCAACCATAGTGGCATCATAAAGCTTCATGGATTTATGCATTGGTGAGAGTTAAAGAGAACACAAGAGCATTGATTGTAATGATAAACTCAATATTAAGAATACTCATTGAACTTGTTAAATTATTACCAAAGCTACTATTACTGATGAACAAGATACATGTCACTATTTAATTCTACTTTCCTCTACTCCCTCCCCAAAATATGGCTCCATTAGTATTTGGGTCAGACAGTGTATATATTTGAATTCAGGATGCTGCTGGCCTGCTGAAATAGGTGAAAACATACTGATACAGCTTAGGAGGTAGGTCTGTTTGAGGCAAGAAAAAATTATATGAATTTCTTTTGTCTCCGTATCCAAACACAGGTATACGCATGTGAAAAAGTTGTGTGCGTTTGTGCATGGTTTTGACAGTGTTGTCTGTTCCCCCTTTTTTCTCTCTTCCTCTCTGTCTTTTCTCTCTCTCTCAGTCTCTCTTCCTTTCCCGCTTGCACTCCTTTAATGTCTCCCTCCTGATTTGGAGATGGCTCTGTCTCCCATGATGCACCAGCCCCAGGCAGCGGGGGCCCTGTGCAGGGCTGGCGCTCCTTTGCCAGCAGCTCCACTTGCCTTTCTTCTTCTTCCCTTCATCGCATCTACAAAGAAATGAGGAACAACAATAACAAAAAAAAAAAAGTCAAAATCAAGAAAGCCGGCGTGCCAAATAACAGAAACGTAAGAACAGGAGAGAGAGAAGCCGGCGCGTATACATAGTTAAAGAAAAAGGAGGATAATGTGACTAGAGTACCTCTGAGCTGCCCTGCATGCAGCCAGAAAATAAATGATTACTTCCCCTCAGATCTTCCCAGTGTTTGACTCCTCTATCCTCTCCCTCCCTCTTTTCCCTCCTTCTCTGTCTCACTTTCGTTGTGCCACCATTGCCACCACACAAACGCACATCTCAATCCTCTCTTTCTTCTTTCATGCTGTTAATTTTGTCCCCTTTTCCTTTTTTTCTTCACCTCTCCTCACTCTCTTCTCTGTCGATATCTGGCTTTTATTCGGAGATTTAAAGCTGCGTGTCCCTCCCACCCCTAGTGTGCGTTTGATGTTTGACAAGGGCCCTTTGAAGTGTGCTCACTTCAGAGGCTGCCTAGCTGATGGCTTGGTCGGGCTACAGAGGGTGCAGGCAGGGGGTCTCCCCTCTGTGCGAGACCAACTGCTACCCCGCCATTGCTACCTCCTTTTCTCTCCCTCGCCCAGCAGCCTGGCACTGCCAAGGGCACTGGGCATGAGAAGATCTGGGAAGAGATGAACGGCAGAGAAGGTACGGGTTAGCTCGAGGGCAAGGGCATCTGGATTAGGCCTTTTGGAATGGTAGCAGGCTTTTTGGAACAAGACAGGATTAGGGCAAGGGCGGTGGATTAGTGCACCATATTGCATCCGTCAGAACCACTAAGCAGTTACACTCGTACACACACTAAAGTTTCCCTCCCCCTGTGTTGTTTACCCTGCAGAGGACACACCGGCTGCCTAAGGAGATGACCCCTGTCGAGCCCTCAGCCTTTGCTGCACAGCTCATAGCCAGGTTGGAGAAGCTGAAGCGAGAGCAGGACACAGTGAGCTCGCTGGAAGAGAGGCTGCAGCAGATCCAGGAGGTATGGATACATTCAGCCCTGTTGTAAACAGCCCCCCACTTCCACCACTTCCCATTTCATTAAACATGACAAACATGCCAATTGGAATTTTTAAATTGTATCCAAGCTGCTTGGGTCAGTGGTTCCATACTGCACTACCAAAGTCTTGATGCCAGCTTTAGCATGTTGAAGAACAGGGAAAAGACCAAGGGATTTGAAAGTCTATCTTGGTTTAGCTACTTCTTCCCTTTTCCTCTCTGTCCTTCACTGTTTCATCTGGAGGAACTTTCAAACTTATGTTTCTAGACACACTTGAAATTCCTTCAAATAGTTAGCACTTAGCTACTCTCCAGTGGCACGTTTGCAGAGTATGTGTAGTGCCAGTCTCTTTTTGAAGCACAGGCACACTCTGCATTATAGATGAAGCGCACCCAAAGCCTGTTAGGGAAGATAACAGTGCTGCAAAAAGGAAACTCGAATCAAGTTATCCAGGCGTTTGCTCTCATCTACTTAAGAGTACCATAGATAGAAGTTGTGTGTAAGTTGAGACACGAATTCTTCTGCTTGCTGCCTTTTCCAAATGTGAATGTGTATGAGTCTTTTGTCAACTGCCTTAACTTTTTTGTGTGTGTATTTTTTTTTTTGTGCCTGTCCAGGAGGAGGAAAGGGAGGAGAACAGTGACCTTGCCAGCAACACCTCCCTCCATCACCCTCTGCTCACGTCTGGTAGTCAGTGTGAGGAAGACCCCCAGGCTATTTTAGACGAGCACCTATCCCGTGTGCTGAAGACACCTGGCTGCCAGTCGCCTGGTGTGGTTCGGCACTCACCACGCTCACGCTCCCCGGATCGAACGGGTGTCATGGTGTCTTCTGGCCACGGGCCCTTCTTTGGTGCTTATCCTGGGGCCACCAAAGTTCTCTTGACAGGAAGGCAGTCGACAAAGCACATCCACCATCACTACATCCACCATCACCACGCTGGGCCAAAGACCAAGGAGCAGATCGAGGCTGAGGCGGCTCAGCGTGTCCAGTGCCTCTGCCCTCCAGGGGGTGCCAATTATTCTGACTTCCCCCCTGCGTGAGTGTTAATTCTGAGCTGTGCCTACACTAGCTGTTAGCCAGCATTGTACATTAGCATTTAGTACTTGATTTCTTCAGTTTTCCCTGTGGTAAAGCTGCTCTGTCTCTGGTCCTAACATGCCTTTCTTTCTCCTGCCAGTCGCTGCACTACTTTGTCCAGGCGGCCAGTCAAAGTCATAGATGAGAGTGTGTCTTCCCCATGCCTACCCCTAGATGCTGCCGACCGCTCTCAGAATGTATGGCAGTGGATCCTAGAGAGCGAAAGGCAGGGCAAGCACAAGCCACATGGGTAAATGTTTGATTTGATTTGATTTGATTTATTCTTTCAAGCATGTAAAGACAGTTGATATGTCGACACACATAATTTTACACATATCCAACAAATGCTAATCCAATATCAATTTGCTTATACCTAGTACATGCTTGAATGGAGTAGGAAGAAGTCAGACTTATCCAGTCCTACCCCATGAATACAGCAGACAAGAAGGATCTAATGGTACTTACTGATCTCTGGTCAGGTTCAGGTGATGAGCCCTTCTCTGCAATTCTTCTCCTGTAAGACAGAGTCCAGAATTATTTCTGAAAAACAGTTGCTATTTTTAAAAACATATCATCATGTTTAATGTTAATATCATAAAGCACAGACCACACAATTCCTCCTGAACTCCACATTTTTAAAACCTAAATTCCTTAGATTTCTCTAGATCTTACAGTGATACTTCTCTGTCAGCAACAAAGTGCATTTAAATTACGATTTTACTACATATCATCTCATAATACTGAGGAATAGTGAGAGTGATGAGTACATGAACTTATTCTTCAGGTGGCACAACAAAATCCATTGCGACCAACATTGGGGTTTGCTAAATCTACTGTATGGCAACTGTGTCAAGTTTCACTTTTCTGTAGTATATGAAACAAGATCTGAAATTCATTCATATGACTCAAGTGCCTATTTTGAGACGTACTGAATCGAAGAGTAATATATGATGTGTCGCTACCTCCTTGCTAACAGGGCACTCATCTCCTCCATGAGCCCTCCTCCTCCAGGCAGAGGGCCGTTGCCTCTGGCTTCAGATTTGGCCCCTCCAGCCCCTGGCATGGCTGCTGCCAGAGCGGCCGCCGCCT